TAATACATACGTTGACAGGCAGGTAGGAAAGCCAATTAAAACGCTCGGACCGAGCGTTTTGATTGGACCAACATTTCTTTGTCCTACGCCTTTCACAGAAAATATAAATACAGATAAATACATTTAGATCACTTAACTTAATGATTGCTGTCGGGATGTGAAGAGACTTTCAAGCAGCATAACAAAAAATGCTTCTGAAGACAATCACCTATTGCACCTTTAATAATTGATTTATTTTGGCAAAAATCTAACTGAGGAGATATCACTCACATGAAGCTATAAGGCAGATTGTGTGTGTGTGTGTGTGTGTGTGTGTGTGTGTGTGTAGATGATGAACGTCTGACCTCTCTCACAGCGAGAGCCGTGAAATCCAGCGGGACAGAGACACTGTCCGGTTCTGGGATGACATGAAGCCCTGTTCACACAGTCACAGTGCTGCTGACAGCCAGAGCCGAACAGACCGGCGGGACACGCTGAAACACACACACACACACACGGTCAGCACACAGAAAACACTCAGCCTGTGCTGGCAAAGCTGTATGTGGATCTCACCGAGCTGACAGAGATGACCGTAATATCCCGGCTCACACCGGCAGCTTCCTGTCACTTGGTCACATGTGCTGTTATTCTGACACAAACACTGAAGAGCACAGTCAGGACCGAAGAGACCCTTGGGACACTCTGACAACACACACACACACACACACTCTGATTACAGACGCTCACATATATATATAAGATAGATATATACATTAATATATACCAACCATTTTCCCTAAAAAAATTAAGAATTATTTTATAATATTTAATTACATTATATATTAATATTGTATTGTTATTATATTGTATATATATTATTAGATCATTTTTATTAACCTTGATTATTTCTATGTGTATGTGTGTGTGTGTATAATTTTTATACATGACAACAGATCATTATTACATAATTGAGGGAATACATCAACTTAGTGCTGTGGATCGCCGGATCGGCTTTCACCGTGGACGAAGCAGAGTCCAGCTCGGGGTCGTCACATGTGGTTGCCGCAAGCCCACCCGCCGCCGCTCACTTAAACCAGCCTCCGCTCAATCTAGCCATGTGTTAAGCTGTGTTTCGTTGTGAAAGTGAAACTACTTTGTTTGGTCTTCCAAAAGAGGACACGACCCAAATATTCAGATGTGTGCAGTGCATTTTATGGAGGACTGTTTCCTGATCCTGGGAGAGTAGACTACAATGTGTCTGTGGCACAAAGGCTGTTTCTATAAAGTGGGGCAGTTCCAACTTTGCAAGGACAGTCTGGAACTTCTGACTCACAGCCTGTAAGTACGTTTTCATATTTAAAGGATTTGCCACTGATGATTCAAACACAACATAATGTTCTTTTTAGCAATGTCTTATGACCCCTTTAAACATTTAGTCTATAAATGAACAGAAAAGTAATAAAAAAAAAAAAAATTTCAGAAGTGTATACAGAAATAATATCATTAAGGTAGAGTAACCGTACCGTTATGATCTCTATAGATAATAATAAACATATACAGTATATATATCACCTTTCTCACAGCGCGAGCCGGTCCAGCCGAGACCACATGAACAGTTCCCAGAGACGGCGTCACACAGGCCTCTGTTACTGCAGTCACAGCGCTGAAAGCAGGACGCGGGACAGACTGCACACACACACACACACACACACACACACCTGCCGTCAGACATCAGAAAACACACACATGTAACCTCACCAAACACCAGCTCACCTTCATCCCCGACACACACGCCTGTGACCGGATCGTTTCTCAGCCCCTTTCCACAGACGGCCACACGGCCACAGTCCGGCCCGTACCGTCCCGCCGGACACGCTGAACACCAGAGCATACGGGAGGACAAGCGTGCTGTTGAAACGCTGCAGCCTGACACATATACAGTGTGTTTTGAGCAAGTGCTGCAGTGCGGGACTCACTGAGATGACAGCGGGCCCCGATGAATCCAGCCGGACATTCACAGGCCCCCGAGACCAAAAGACAAACTCCACCGTTCAAACACTGACAGCGATGCTCACAGCCAGGACCGTAGAAACCTTCAGCACACGCTACACACACACACACACACACACACGAGAGAATGAGGAAAAAACATGCAAAACAACAACAGCAGCACATCATAAACCTGATGAAATGAAAATCTGCATCCTTATGTCTGATCAGAGTCAATATTTATCAACTACACACTTGTTTCTCCTCAGACAGACAGAAAACAAAAGCTGTATGAGCATGTGCTGCGTTTAGAGCTTTAGAATTAGCCCTGCCTCCACTATTAGACTGAAATAACATTTTATCTGAAGCAGACTCAGCCAAACCCCTTTTGACAACATATTTACTTGAAAAGCATCCTTTAATATGACAATAAAATAACAACACATTGACTTGTTTATGGTTTTCCAATGTTGGGTCATGGTGACATGACAAATAAAATATTTCACTTTTTTTTTTTTTTATGGTTTTATTATTTTTGTGTTTTAGTTTTTTATTTTTATTGACTGTATTTTTAGCTTTTCAGCTTGTTTTTATTTTAAAATGATTAATTGTAAATTTCTTTATGATTTTAAACATTTTTAGCTTGATTGTTTTTATTTTAAGATTTATTTTTGTAACCTCACATTTTTATGATTTAAAAAAAAAAATGTGGTTTTAGTGTTTTTATTTTTAAATGTTTTAAGTTGAAGTTTGTTTTTTTATTTTAAAATTTATTTAATTTGACATTTTTATGATTTGATACATTTTAGGTAAGAGTTTAGTTTGTTTTTATCTTAAAATGTATTTAATTTTACTTTTTTATTAAGTTTTAATTATATTTTAAGTTTGTTTGTATTTTAAAATTTACGTTAAATTAAATTTTATATTTGTATAATTGTATGTATTTTGGTAAGAGTTTTATGATTTTGTTAATTTTTATTTAGTGTTTTACTTTGTTAAATTTTTTTTTATTAATTAATTTAAATGTAGCTTTTTTCTATGGTTTTATTTTTTGTTTCAGTTTGCTTTTTAAAATTGTATTTAATTTGTACTTTTTTTATTAGTTTTTAAGTTTGTTTGTATTTTAAAATGTACCTTAAAAACAATCAAACTAAAATGTATAAAATCATAAAAAATATAAAATTTACTGTAAATCTATTTTAAAATGTATGATTTTATTATGTTTTAATGACATTTTTAGTATGTTTTATTTTAAAATGTACTTTAATTTACATTTTTAGGATTTTCTGTATTTTTATTTTTATTTGACATTTTCTAGGATTTAATCAATCAAGCTACTCAACTCACAAACCCCTTGCAGTTCTCTAATGAACTCCAGTTTTTTAAACCCCTGATCTAAAGCACAGCAGAGGAACAAACCTAAAACTTTCTTCACAGTACCGGTAAATGTAAGTGCATGCCTCACCCTGTTCACACCTGGGTCCTGTGAATCCAGGCGCGCAGTAACACTCTCCAGACAGCGGGTGGCACAGCTGGTTTCTCTCTGAACACTGACACACCTGATTACAGTTGATGCCGAAGGTGCCGGGCAGACAGGCTGTTGAGACAGACTCAGATGATATTATTTTTTAAAACTTATATCATCTTTTTTTCTGCAGTAATTTGGCATGTCGTGCAGTAGGAGTGAAGCTCAGACACTCACTCTGCTCGCAGCCGCTGCCCGTGTAGCCGGGAGGGCAGCCGCAGCGTCCCGACACGTGATGGCACGATGTGCCCGGCGGGCAGGAGCAGCGCTGGACACAGTCCTGACCATATGAGCCCGGCAGACACGCTGACACACACATACACACAAGTGTCACACACAGACAAGATACTGCACGCACACTTCAAATGTAATATAAATTAATTATTTTTATATAATTGATTAATTTAATATTTATATATATATATATATATATATATATATATATATATATATATCGCGGAAATTATGTCTCGGAGTAATCAGTGCAATTTGGGAAAGAAATCAATTAAATCTGTATGTGGATGTGTGTAAATATTCAAATGTAATCCCCTTTGTAATCGTTAACATTTTCATAAGTAACTGTAATTTAATTACACATTTTTTCTTAGTAACTGTAACTGATTACAGTTACATTTATTTTGTAATTAAATTACGTAACGCCGTTACATGTAACTAGTTACTCCCCAACACTGCATTTAAGGGATACGGTGCAGTTACACAACATTTCACCACATAAATAATTATGGCGATAGAAGATTTAAAACGAAAATGTTTTAAAATCTTACCAGTTTGTTTGTTAGTTGTCTTATAATCCATTACAGCGTACAAAACAATCGTTGCAGCAGCTGCGTTTGAATGAAATGAGAGAGCGAGTCCACGATACCAGGATGACATAATTAAATAATTGTACACAATTTTGAATCGAGTTTTAATATTTCATTAGCTAAACAAACGCAAAGCTTCCACCAAGAAAAAACTGTTCCTGGCAAAAGTATAGCGCTGACTTCAGTTACCCAGATGAGCCTGTGTTATCAGTTTTTACCGGCTGTTATGTAAGGGATAATGTACATCCAGCCGGTTGTTATCTCAGAATAAACCCCGACAGAGTGTATCAGCCTGAAGGGGTTTATTCTGAGATAAAAACCGGCTGGATGTACATTATCCCGCTTATTACACGGCTAAAAAGATTTGTTTTTACCATATATGTTGAAATTAATGCTGAAGTCTTCCATTGTAACACGCGGTGGTTAAGTGTTTTCAGTCACAAGATGGCGCCAGACAGTCAACGATAGCGGAGTGACCCGTTAAGCATATAAGTAGTACCCGGATGAGTGGTGTGTTATTCAATTTGGCGGTTGTTATCTGGGAATAACATACCGCTGGATGGCGCAATTGACCAATCAGAATCAAGTATTCCACAGAGCCGTGTAATAACGAGGGATAACATACCTAAGAATGTCGCGACTGACCAATCAGAATCAAGTATTCCACAGAGCCGTGTAATAACGAGGGATAACATACCTAAGAATGTCGCGACTGACCAATCAGAATCAAGTATTCCACAGAGCCGTGTAATAACGAGGGATAACATACCTAAGAATGTCGCGACTGACCAATCAGAATCAAGTATTCCACAGATCCGTCTAATAAAATGATTTATTACAGGTGATAACTTTAATGATTTAATAATTGTTTTATAATTATTTAAATTATTAGATACAACATCCTGGACACTGAAGTGGTCTAGGTCACACGGGCGATGAACTGACCTTTCTCACAGCGTCTTCCTCTCCATCCTGCAGGACAGAAACACTGTCCGCTCACATGATGACAGGGGGCTCCGTGATCGCACTGACACTGGCCCTCACAGCCGACTCCAAACCGGCCCCATACACACGCTGACACACACAAACACACACACTGCTGATGTTATACTGACCTAATCGAGATTTTTGAGTTTTACACTCATTTGGGCCCCATATGTATACAAGACAAAACACACACACACACTGATTTTATAGGCATGTTCAGTCATTCTGTCAGTGTGAATATGACTGTAATACTGTAATCTCCTGAAAGTCAGTCTTCATTAAAATCATTCTATTAATTATCAGAAAACATTTATAACAGAGCACTAGGAGGAGACAGATCTTGTGGATCTATATTGAAAAGCTGGGTTTATTTTATTTCCTGTTGGGACAGTAAGTTGAGATGGTCTTACCGTTCTCACAGCGCTGTCCCGTCCAGCCGGCCTGACAAACACACTGACCCGTCTGTCTGTCACACTGAGCACCGTTCACACACTCACATCTGTCCTGACAGTCCGACCCGAAGCCACCCGCTGCACATTCTGACCACACACACATGCACACACCCACAAATACACACACACACACACAAACACACATGCACACACCCACAAATACACACACAAACACACAGGTTCATATAAAACATATTTTCAAAACATAGATGTAAATCAAATTTAAATATGTAATAAATATAGAAATATAAAACATGCATTATATCATTCAATTTATAATATTATATAATATTTCAATTATTATATGTAAATACAAAATCTGATTGTAGAACCAGATAATATATAATTCTAATCTATGCAAATGTAAAACATATGCATACTGTATATCTCAATTATATAATTTACATATTCATATTTACATACATCAATTATCAATTCTGCACATATATACGCTTGTTTTTTGCACATACATATGTATCATATTTATATACATCAATTACAGAAAAATCATTGTTTGGCTCTAAAATATGATAAATTCATTGCAAAATTGTAAGCAAAGGATGAAAAAATGGGAAATATACATATAAATATATATATTTTTTTTTTTTTTTTTTTTTTTTTTTACGGTCAAAAATACACAACTAGACAACTAGAGAGGAGAGAGGGGAATGGCAACCACAAGTCCAGACTAAATAAGAAAAAAAATAATACATTGAATTATTCACTAAACATTGTTATTTTTTCATTATATTGATGTTGATGATTTTATTTTATGAATGCTGTGCTTTATGTTAGCATTGGCATTGAGACTGAGACTAAATGAACCTGCAGCAGTGCTCAAAACTATTATGAGGTGTGAGGAGAAGAAAGCAGGATCTTGAAACGGAGGCTGTGACTCAAGTGTCTGCGGTTGCCAAAACCATCTGACACACAAGTCAACAAATACTGAAAAGTGAAACACCAGTATGACACTATATATATGATGTAATGTCTGGAAATCAGCAGCTTCCCAACATTTTTTATTTTTTTTTCCCGTCAGCACATGGAGATCCATTACTGAATATCCATTTTATTTATTTATAATATATATGTGATACACCCAAGTGTAATCACAATTGCAATGTATGTTTTCTTTATTTTTTATTAATTGACTAATTTATGATAAATATAAATGGAAAACTATCTCAGAATGTGATAATTTATTCAAAGGAGACTCAGAAATTGTAAATATGTACTTAGGGAATTGTATTCAGGGAATTTAGGGAAATGTATCTGTTAATGGGAATACTCTGATAAATTGTGTCATGTGTGATGGTTACAATTTGAATGATACTAGTGTAGCAGCTGTGTGATGATGACCAATGAAAATGGTTACATAGAAACTCTGTTCCCACTGAAGATATAAGAGCTTATTAAAGGGATTTTAATGTGTATTTTGCAGCATGCTGATGATTATAAATGAGTTATGATGAAATGTGTTTTATAACATAAGAGTATGATGCAGAAAACGAATATTTGAAGATTTTATTGTAAAAATTTACAACAGAGTACAGAACTGTATTTTTAGTATATGAATATGAGTTATGATGTTGACCCGCTACATATTAAATATATAAAAATTTGGTCACACTTTCACACAGTTTGGGGAACAATTCTCACTATTCAATAAACTCAATAAACGCTTCATTTGCTGCTTATGAATAGTTATGAGTATGTAATAGGTAGTTGTTAAGTTTAGGTATGGGGTAGGGTTAACAGATCTAAAATATGGTCATGTAGAATAAGCCATTAATATGTGATTTATAAGTACTAATAAATAGCCAATATATATATATAATTCTAATATATAAGTGCTGTCAAACGATTAATCGCATCCAAAATAAAAGTTTTTGTTTACATAATATGTGTGTGTACTGTGTATATTTATTATGTATATAGAAATACACAAACATACATCTATGCATTTAAGAAAAATGTGATTTGTTTATATATAAAATATTAAAGGGATGCTTTTTTAAAGATTATTATTTTGTGTATTTGGTGTATCAGAATATGTTGACATGCTTTAATGTTCAAAAAACACATTATTTTTCAAATACTGTACATTATTGTAGGTCCTCTATGCCCCGCCTCTCTCAAACGCTTCGTTTTCTACAAAGTCCCTCCTTCCGACAAGCGCAGTCTGCTCTGATT